TGGGCATTGAAAGAAAAAATGAACAGAGTCTTCAAAACAATATCCACATTTTAAGCATTTAGGTGAATCAGCTAAATTATGATTAAACAAGTCTGCATTAAGATTACTAGAGAAGTTTCTCAACTGACAGTGGAGTATATTTAATTTTCTGTGTCCATAATTGTATAATTTGGATTTTGTTTTATCTTCAAGATTTTTATTTTGCATACACTGTTTAAACTTTGCTACACTTGTTACAGATTTTAAGCTATCTGGCAAATCATTCCATAATTTAGTTGTAGATGGTAAAAAACTATTGTAGTATGCAACTGTTCTAGTGATTGGTAAGTGATACGAATTATTGCGTAACGCGTAATTATGTGAAACAGGTAGGCATTGATTGACCATTTCTTGCAAATATTCAGGTGTATAATCATTAAGTATTTTGTACATAAGTGTAAGCTTATGTTTAGTTCTTCTTTCACTAAGTGTTTGCCATCCTAATTCATTATACAATTTTTGTTTTGAAGAATTGCGTCTTAACCCAGTAATGATACGCCCTGCCTCTATTTGCACACTCTCTAATAGATTACTCTGTTCCTGTGTGCAATTATCCCATACTACATTTCCATATTCTAAAATAGGCCTTATAAAAGCAATATAAATACTAATGAGAGAATCTCTGTTTAATTTGTATTTAAGGGTGCGAAGAACATTTAAACGTTGACATGCTTTATGATATATTTTGGATATATGTTCTGACCAACCACCATTGGATTGTAGTATAAGTCCAAGGTGGCAGTGACTTTGCTGTTGTTCTATGTAACCATTTACATAACCAAATGAGATTTGTGGATGAGCTTTATTTGATCGGGTAAAATTAACATTTACAGTTTTGCTAGGGTTAAAGTCTACCATCCATTGTCTGGACCACTGTTTAATTTTTTCCAAGTCATTTATTAAAGAGACGGCAGGGGCTTGTGTATCAGAGTCTACAATTACAAACAAAGAAGTATCATCTGCAAATAACCTAATGTGATTTTCTAAATTTTCAGTTATGTCATTTATATATATCAAAAAGAGGAATGGTCCTAATACCGAACCTTGTGGGACGCCTGCATTTATACTTTCTCTAACTGAGGAGTACCCTTCTAATAAAACTTTTTGTTCACGATCAGTAAGATAGTTTTCAATCCATTCCAATATATTTCCGACAACACCATTCTGCTTAAGCTTAAATAATAACCCCTTATGCCAGACCTTATCAAATGCTTTTGATATATCACAGAAAACAAATCTTACATCTTTGCCTTGGTCTAAATTGCTTATAATAGTATTGTATATTTCTAGAAGCTGATTTACAGTGGAGTCCCCAGGTTGGAATCCAGACTGATTCTTAGATAAAAGATTATGATCCATCATATAGTTGTGGAGATGTTTGAAAATAATTTTTTCCATAATCTTACAGAGAATACTAGTTAAAGCAATAGGTCTGTAGTTTCCTGGTTCTTCGGGACTACCTTTATTTTTATAAACTGGTGTAATATTTGATAGTTTCCATATATGGGGAAGCTGTTTGCTGGTTAATGATGCATTAAACAATTTTGCTAGGGGTGCAGTGATAGACGGAATTATATTTTTCAGTATTTGTGGAGAAATATCATCTGGTCCTGGAGGTTTAGATGGGTTGATATTATGTAATTGATCCTCCACTTCTTGGGGTGTAATATGAATTGTGTTTATTGAATATGGTGGACCTGGCCCTTGAGGGGGTAATTGGGATTCTGTGCTGACATCAATATATTTCTGCAAAGAGTTTATTAATTATATTAGCTTTTTCAACTGGGTGAATATAAATTCTACCATTGGATTTTATTGGTGGGGGTTTAGTCTGTTTTTTAGAAAATTTAGTAATAGACTTTACAATTCGCCACCATTTGCCAGGTGGTATTGATCTATCTAATATTTGTGAGGTAATTTTTTCTTTATAGACTTGTTTCGATTTACGTACCATACTTATTACTTCATTCCTTAAATGACGGTATCTACTCCATTGATATTCATTATTATTTGCTTTTGCTTTATAATGTACTCTATTTCTTTGTCGCATCTTACATCTAATAGCACTTGTCATAAATGGTTTATCTGATGGTCTAATGATCACTACTTTTTTAGGTATATTTTTGTCAACATAATGGTTATATATATTCATAAAGTTATCATATATGTCATTGATATTGTGTGTATTAAATACCTCTCTATCCCAATCAACATTTGACAAATCTGTGCATAGTTGTGAGTAGTTAGCTTTTGTATAATTTCTTATGTATCTTTTATATGAGTGTTGCTTGAATGTTTTAAAATGTAGATCAACACCAACTGGACTATGAGTGCTACAAAAAGGCGTTAAGATATTTACAGTTTCTATTTTTTCAACAGCATTGGTAATAATAAGATCAATACATGTACCTTTTGATCTTGAAAAATTTGTTGGTTTTGTAACAACATTTGATAAAGAAAAATTTTGCAACATGTTTTTAAATGCATTGTTACCATCAGCTAACATATCAAAATTAAAATCACCCAATAGAAATATTGGTAATTCAGCATTCAAAGCACTTTCTATAGATAGAGCAAGTTGGTTTACAAAGTCTGCTTTTGCACTAGGTGGTCTATATATTACACCAACTAAGAATTTATGATTACCATTTTCAATCTCAATCCATATAATTTCAATATTTGAAGTAAAGATATCTTCTCGTTTCTTGAAACTGAGGTTACTTTTAACATAGATCATAACACCACCCCCATACCTGTTACGATCAAGTCTAACGGGTGCTTGAAATCCTTCAAGTTCAATATCATTGTCAGTTATAGATTGGTCTAAATGACTTTCAGTAATAGCAACAATATCATAATCATATAGTTCATTATATATAATGTCAATTTTAGGGAGAATGCTACACACATTATTATGTACAATTTTTATATTGGAGTTCAATGTAGGACCTGGATTAATTTCAATGCCTCCTATAATGAGTAAATAATAGATTACCAAGTAATAATATAAGGACATACCTTGAATAATTCTATCCCTTACACATCGTTTTGCACATGGTTGTGGGAAATAATATATGTCACTCTTAGTCATTTAAGAAGAAGTTAATAGCATGTACATGTACTTTTTTCACAAAAGTGCAAAATAATCGGAACTCTTCAGAGTTGTGTGCAGTGTAAGGAGCGTTCAGAAATATATACTGTAAAAATACTTTAAAGCCAATTAATAGTAAGATATTTTCTACAGCTTTATGTAGGACACTAAAAACCAAGATTAAAGTCACGCATATTACATACAGTATGTACAATTCATACTTTCGTTTCAAAAGTGTCTGAAAGATAGTGGATAATCAGTTCAAGATGTTTTAAGTTCAGGTTACTGGCAATAAGGAATGAACGTTCAGAAGTTACTTCGCCATCTTTAATTCTTCTTCCGTTCTGCAGAAATGATTTTAACAAGGTAATTTAATAAATGGCTCTTAGTAAAACATTGACCACACGCCTTCCTTTCACGGTTGAGCCATTAAGGGATTTCCTCTCAATGGTTAATGCAATAAAGTTAAACTAAGCTTATGAAAAAGAGGGTTTTGCAAGATTTCTCACGTATAATGATATTCCTCATGTGAAAAAATCAATTGAAAAACAAACTTTATAAATACAGATTCCTGTGTATTTCATTATTTATAAAGAAGCAGCAGCCCGTACGAAACAGTCCGGGCGGCTTAGACACGGCTCAGGCACGGATTCCGTCTCCAAAAAGCCGTGCTTTAGCATTCCGTGCTCCTATGTAAAGTATGTATGGAAAGCCGTGCCTAAAAGTGGTCGAGGCACGGACACGGCACGGGATATTGGCCGAAATATTTAAATGAGATCTCACGGTTTTACAAAACCCGTGTCAGAAAGCCGTGCTAGTTTCCATATATGGACTCACGGATTCTGTAAACCCGTGTCTGAAACCCGTGTCCTTTTCCATATATGGAGACACGGTTTTTTGGAAACCCGTGTCAAAAAAGCCGTGCCGTATACCATATAAGGAGTCACGGGATCTGTGCATTTGTTTAGATCTAGGTCATGGCCTTTAGAGACTGTGGATGCCAAAATGGTGACTGAAACCAAAATAACTTCACATTGCTTTACATTATTTGCTTAGATTTAGAATTTCAAAAGTTAAAAATCTTATATGAATGTGTCCATTTACTTTCTGTTAAAGATTAACTTTATAAGTTACAATCCATGCTAGTTTTTAATAAGATTTTAATGATAATGTACAATATTCAATTGTAATTTAATCTAGTAGCTAAGTTTGCACAATCTGAGAAAGAATTTACTTTAAATAAAACTTTCACTAGCACAGTGATGTCACATAAAATATATATACTATAAAGGATTAGTGAAAGTCCAACTAAAGTCACTCAAATAAACCTAAACTATTTCATCATGTTCATTGTCAACATCGCAATAAAGGAAGAACATGAAAATTGAAAAATTGACTTATTTATTCTAGATTACACTTACTGCATTTAGTTCAAAAGTGAAGAAATTATCCCAGACTGACATAAATACAATTCCAACTGACATCTATTAGTTAAATATCCTTTAAATAGAGCAAAAAGACACACTGACTTAGCTCATGACCATGAATCCCTCCAATTTAATATTCAAATAAAGGAAGTTATGACTGAGCATGCTCAGTAGAAAGCCGTGAGATATAAATAAATAGTTTGAACCAAAACCCGCCTTAGTTAAAAACCGTCTCCCTGGGACACGGATTCCGTGCCTCCACACGGGTTTCTGTGAGCGAGGATTCCTCACTTTCAGACACGGAAGCCGTGTCCGTGTCTTGGACATTCAGAACCCATGCGGCTTTTTAAAAACCCGTGCGGATTCCGTGTCTTAGCCGTGCCCAAGCCGTGCCTATTCCGCCTCGAACTTTCGTACGGGAGAGTTTACATATGCTCATCAGAATGACTGCTCTTACTGTTTTGTATGTATTTCTCTGTATTGGTGGGACTTTTGCAGATAAGGTTTTACCAGAAAAAGAACCCTCTGTGGACCAAACCTTATTGTCAAGTACTACTGATGGAAAACTCTCCGGCGTTTTACGAAACGTTTTAAACCAAGAAAGTTTAGTTCGCTTCTCAATGGCACAGAAATTTCAGACATTGGTTCTGGACGTCCTGGATAACCAAAACAGCAGTAGAAGTCTGCAGAGGAAGGTCGTCAACATAGCTAAAGAGTTAAAGGCTCTGGAAACAAGGGACCAGATGCTAGAAGAGGAAAACTTGAAACTCAAAGAAGAATTAAAGATGATGAACGAGTCCTTGAAGAATAACCGGAGTCAAATAATGGAAGAAATGCTCGATGAATTCGACACACGCCTCAAAATGGTTGAAGAAAAAATGATTAACTTCTCAACTCAACATACGCCAGGTAAATTAGAATTGTTCCACAATTACTAAATGTCTTCCTATATTTCAGAGTATTATAATTTATTAAATAATTTTGACGCATGATCAAATGTGAAAAACAACATTGAGGACTCAAGAAATTAAATTAATCCAATTATTTATATCAGCCAATAAAAAATTTACACTTTATTTTAACTGTTTAATAAACTATTTTCCACTTTTATTATCCATCTTTACAAATGAAAAAAAATAGTGAAGTATACATTCATATATATCAAAATATCTACATGCATTATGCTACATGTATAATTATATTTCCCCATTACGAAAAGAAAACCGGGAATAAGTTTTTATTTTAGTGAAAAGGGGGCACCTAAAAACACAAAAATGCTTCATAGGTATACCTAATATAAATACAGCATTGTCAACTAGTACTGTACAAGTCTCTCAAAATAAAATCCTCTTACATTATGAAAGATTATGAGCGCTTTGCATGATTATGTAAACGCAATTTTGAAAGCAGGCCTTGTCTAAATAAGTCTTCTATACGATCATTCGATGGCGCAAAAAAAGATGACGCTATCGAGCAAAGATGCGATTAAGATGGGGCGCTGACAAAAAAGAGTGATAGCGATGGTAAAAAATATGATACATGTAGTTACGATGATGTTAAGCGACGATCGCTATCAATCTAGTATGCTATTGCGTAATAGCAGCTTTGTCATTTTTTTCTCTTCCGCCCTTGTTCCATCGACCCAAACGCCATGAATTGAAATGTACGTGACTCCATTCTGAACTACTACATGTAGAAAAGGGCTTTCATTCCTTAAACGCTTTATGCTAGAATGTTATTTTTAACTTTTTTCTTTTAGATACAAGGAGGAAAGTGTATTTTTCAGCTGGAATTTCAAAAGAAAAAGGGTACTCCGCTAAAGTGAATGGCAACAACGTGATTTTATTCCAAAAAGTAATTTCGAACGAAGGAGGGGCATATAATCCTTCTACGGGAGTGTTTTCAGCACCGGTGAGCGGAGTTTATGTGTTCAGCTGCTTCATTCTGAAAGATAAAACGACTAACTTTGTGTATTTAGAAGTCAATGGTTTAAAAAAATTCAGTATTGTTAGCCACTCTCCTTCCGGCAGTAGAGATGGTTTGGAAAGTGCTGGAAATCTTGCTGTTTTGAATCTACAGCAGGGTGACAGGGTCATAATGACAAGCACAGTTGAGAGTAATCTACGATCTGCATCAGAAGCGCCATCCACCACCTTTTCTGGGTTTCTATTGTACTAAATATTTCATTTGCTTATCTGCAAATTCATATCCGAAATTTTAACAAGAGCAAACTTTCCAAATGATGAAATACCTTTGTGTACTTGTATATTATTTAATTGGTTTTATTATTATAGTTGATGTCGTCCTTTAAATGTCAAGTTGATGCTGATTAAATCATCGTCTTTAGACCAATTAATTTGTTATTATACTCGAAATACAGTACATATATATGAAGTACATGTATCCATGTCTCTTAAAAATTGTGTTTCTACAATAAAAATAAAAAAAATATTTCAAATAAAAACTGGCTACATCATTTCATAGGCCGCATTGGGACATTCAACATTGTTCTGTTGAAAAGAAATAAAATACAAAAGTTAAATAGTACTGAATTAAAAACATAAAGAACTTCAAAGTACGTCACAGTGTAGCTATAACCGAAACAATTTTGAGTTGCTCTCAGGAATCTTTATACATGTAACAAACGCAGAAAAAGCAGCACAAAAGGAAGCCAAAAATATAGCAAAAATAGTCTTGAGTGTATAATAACCGGATGTAAGAGTTTTATTACCGGCCGCCAGGAGGCGGTCGGTTATATGATATGAAAGTTTGAAGTCGCTGTGCGTTTCTGCGGAGTTAAAACAATTTAAATAAAAATATTTAACATTAATATAATAGTATATTAAAAAGAGCGTCTAAATGATTAACAAGAATGCACAATAAACATAAGATTAATTTTTTATATAAAAATGAGATAAATAATTCATCCAATCCTGATTGAGAAACTTAGACATGTTTGGGGTGCGGAGAAAATTAGGACATGTGTTGGGCATAGTCTAAAGCAAAGACTGCGTTATGTATATTGCACAATTTTACTTTCTCTATTTAAACAGGATTTGTTGTACGTATTTATTTTAAAATGACGTGTACATATGTACATATATAAAAAAAATGTCAAAAATATGGTTAAATGTTAACCCTTTGTGTGCGGGAACCCAGTATATTGGGTCTGACGTCACATAAAACGTCGTATAAAACGTATAAATGAGTT